CTTATCCAGTTTTCAGCTCTGTCTCAGGGGTAATTTTTCCACGAGTAGTTGTAAATTGGCTGTGTCCACGGGAGGAGGTGAGTTCAGAGTCTGCCTATGCCGCCATCTTGACTCCCTCCGCTTGCACATCTCTTGAAGCAACTGCCACAGTACACTGTTATGAAAAGCACTGGTCTAATTCATATTATGAAGTGATGGTAATTAAGACAGTATGATACTGGACTTGGCCAAAAGATTCCAAAGGTTATAAGGACAAAATGTTAGAATAACCAAGAATATTCTGAAAAGGATGAAGAATGATATTGAACTCATTATGAAATAAAGAATTAAAACAGTATCATAATGGTATGGAATAGACAGATAATAGCACAAAATAGAGTCCAGAAATAGACTTAAGTATATATAAGGATTTTAGTCGATTATAAAGGAGATGTTTTGTTTAAATCAGGGAATAAAACAGATTATTCAGTAAATAATGTTGGGACAACTGACTAGCTATTTGGAAAAAATAAGGCATTATGTGTTTACTTTTTTATATCAAAATAAATTCAAGTTGGATAAAAGTTTTTTCTTTTTTTAATACATAAGACTAGTAAAAAAGCTAGAGGATTTCTAAAAATAACCTTAGTGCAGAGAGGGCTTTTTAAGGCTAGCACAATATCTAGAAGCCATAAAGATAAACACTGATAAATTCCAGTACATGAAAATTTAAAACTTCTTTCAGACAAAAACAAAAGAACAGCAGCAACCCCTTCCCCTCCAATAAAAACATGCATCATAAAATCAAAATCCAGTTGAGAAAATATTTTGCCAAATAAATGACAAAAATCCATTCAAGAAATTGGTTTAATTATGCTAAATATATAATATATATAACCATTCAAGGAAAGTGGCAAATCTCTTAGAATGGATATGGAAGGGATCTATGAAAAAATTGGGTTATTAATATAAGAAAGGAGTTCTTTAAAACCAGTAAAATATGTTCCCATATACATGTCATATATATGTGTATACTCAAACCCTTTTGGTATGTGCATAGGAAAATATTTGTAGGACTTTTTTCCATACTCTTCATAGAATAGTGGTTATCACTAAGGGATGGGGTAGTCATGGATTATGATTTTTTACATTATGTGACCTGAAATTTTTGAGTTCTTAAAAAAATGGGTGGGTTTCAGAAGTTTTTTAAACTTGAAAGATTTTATGTTGCAAATTACCTGAAATAAATTTGCTTCTTCAAAAGGCAAGAACTCAGTTATTTCAAAAATTTACACAGCCAAATAGTCAAAAATTTATAATGGAGCAAAGTTAATAAAAAGTTAAATATACCTAGCTTTGAGTATCATCCTGTAAATAATTTTAAAATGAAAACTTTAGAGAGTTGTGGACTCACCTTATAAATTTGAAGAAGTGCGTGCTGAATATAGAGATTTACAAAATTAGGTCATCAGAAATTTTGTCCTGAACTTATAGAAACTGTCAGTGGGCCTGGCCCGGTGGCATAGCAGTTAAGTGCGCACACTCTGCTTCGGTGGCCCGGGGTTCGCAGGTTGGGATCCTGGGCGCACACCGACGCACTGCTTGCCAAGCCACACTGTGGCAGCATCCCATATAAAGTAGAGGAAGATGGGCATGGATGTTAGCCCAGGGCCAATCTTCCTCAGCAAAAAAGGGGAGGATTGGCATCGGATGTTAGCTCAGGGCTGATCTTCCTCACAAAAAAAAAAGAAAGAAGATGTCAGTAACGTTTTTTGCCTTTTGTAGCTGAATGAAAAGATGTGTTTTATGTGTAGACATTTTGCAGGAAACAATTGAAATTGCTTACAGTAATGTATTTTTATGTAACAGTTATAGCTTTAAAAAATTACAGATTGTTGGGCTGGCCCCGTGGCTTAGCGGTTAAGTGTGCGCACTCCACTACTGGGGGCCCAGTTCCATCCCGGGCATGCACCGACGCACCACTTCTCCGGCCATGCTGAGGCTGTGTCCCACATACAGCAACTAGAAGGATGTGCAACTATGACATACAACTATCTACTGGGGCTTTGGGCGGGGGGGGGAAGGAGGATTGGCAATAGATGTTAGCTCAGAGCTGGTCTTCCTCAGCAGAAAGAGGAGGATTAGCATGGATGTTAGCTCAGGGCTGATCTTCCTCAAAAAAAAAAAAAATTACAAGTTGTTTCTGAAATTAAATATCATATATATGTACTTTAAAAAATTTCAGTTATATGACATTGTGATGAGGCCATGGACTAAAAACTCCTGTGCTGCATTTTAATCGGCATGAAATATTTTAAATTTATCATAAATTTCTATGTGCAGATTTAAAGTTTATACCTGGGGACTTTAATATCGTACAACTCATGGTCAGATGTCATTGAACATGTAATTGTTTCTACATTTCACATTATGCTGCACTTTGAGATTGTGCTATAAATCTTTTGTGACTATGAGTTATTTTGGTATATTGCTAACATTGATTTATGTCAGTTCATGTTACTTTAATTTGAATGCACTATTTCCAAACCAGCCACTTAATGTAGCAAGTACTTAGATTTGACTATTTACTAAGTTTATTTTATCATATGCAGTTCTGAAAGATTTGTAGGAAGCACTTTAGTTTTCAGTGGAAAAGTTCAGGGTTTATTTCCTTCATTGAGATATTTATATTTTGTAATAGTGATACATCAGTCAAACATTTTATGTATTTGTGATCGTGTGATGTAATTTACATGTATATTTTGCACATGCAAAATTATTCTTATATTTGCTAAGGTTTCTAGTTCATAGTTACTATATACTCCATTTGTAAATTAACGAGAATTAAAATGCAATAAAATGCATTTAGCCTATTGATCCTAATCTAGACTTTGATTCACAATCCACAGCCAGGATCTTGAAGTGCTTTGGGATTATTGCCTTGAATAGCAATTATCATTGTTTTGTAAATATGTAGACGTAATTCTTCTAGGCAAATATTGGCCAGTAGTGAAATAGCTCTACTTACTTATGAGAAATCGTTCTTGTTTTCTTTTTGAAGGAATTTCCAATCACTAGGCTAATTTTAGAAGTAAATAATGGAGAAAAGTAAATTATAAATTATAGTAATAATAGTAGAGAAGTAAATAACCACAAAGCAAATGAAGAGACAGTCTTCACTTGTGTTTAGTTAATTAAATATTAGGTACTATAACATTTCATTTTTTCTTCAGAAATTATTAATGTTCGATATTTTAATGTTCTGAATTGTTTTAGGCTGCAGTTCATGGAGCTCGTTTCAAAGGGCAGGATCTAAAACTGGCATGGAATAAACCAATAACTAATATTTCAGCTGTTGAAACAGAAGAAGTTGAGCCTGATGAAGAGGAAGTATGTTTGGTTTTTTTTTTTTCATTTCTTTTGTTCACTTTTTTATATAAAGTGTGATTTTATGGCTGTGATTTTAACATAAAACTTTTGTTCCTGAGCCATATTCCAGGCAGGGGATATCAGATAAATGCAGACAACTTTAAATTTTCTGGGTTAATGAGAACTGTGGGTTGCTAATCCAAAAAGAATATATGAAAATCATATATATACTCAGTTTTCATTTACTCTTAAAGGACAATAATTATTCATTAGATTTTTATCCACAGGAAATCTTGTAATATTTTAAGGTTCAGAGTATATATTCTACTCAGGTGCTTTATTAACATTTCAGGATTCCTTTATTTTAATTCATACCGTTTTAGTTCATTAGAGTGAATGCCTGCTATATGGTAGATACTGTGATAGGCATAAAAATGAATAAGACACGGTCCCTATTATCAAGGAGCTTATAATCTGGAAAGGGGGGTAGTGACAGACACATAAGAAACTAATTATAATGAAAGGCAGACTGATACGCTGAATAAAGATTTGAACAATATGCTGTGGGAACCCAGAGGAAGGAGTGATTATTTCTGTCCAGAAGAGTCCTGAAGGAGGTGGTAACAGTGGAGCTGAATCCTAAGTGATAAAAAAGCTTTCCATAACCAAGAGCTGGCATAGGAATATAGTTGAGAGAGGCATTTTAGGCAAAGGGATAAGTGTGGAAGAGTACTTTTTTTCTTGGGTAACAGCAGTTAGTCTGATGGCTTAGAAGTGTGAGCATAAAGAACAGGGAAGTGGAAGAGCCCTTTGAAACCAAAAACTTAAAAATAAGCAGCTCTGTTGTGTTTAATTGTGAAATAAGCTGTAGGAAAAAGTTGAGGAAGCTAAGAAATAAAGGTAAGGTGGGGAAAGTAAATGATTCCATATTTTACTTTTGTTAGATTTTCATAATGGCGCTTCATTTTGTTTGAAGAGCATTCAAGGGTGTTACACATTTCCATAGTCAAATGCAAGAATAAAATGTGAATTTTGAAACTCATATACATGATTTGTCATTTTATATTTTAGATTATACCTTTGTCCTTCCATGAGTTTGAATTGAATGGGGAGAAAAGCAGGAGAGCTCCTGGTATTAGGTATTTTGAAAAGTTTGAAAAGCAGTCTGAGAAGTTTTTATGAAGGAAATGGGAAAGAGAAAGGAATGCTATAAAAGAAAATGTTTATTACGTACAGCAGAAAAGAAATATAAATCTTGATAAACTTTTATACAAGTTATTGGTTGATTTAGTGTTCAGAGTTAGGATAAGTCAGAGAAGACTTATTGACGGTTTTTTTTTTTTTTTTAAGTATTGGGCAATGTTTTTAGGTATAGAAGATGACGTAATTTGGTCAAGAGAGGCAGGAGAAACAGCATGTACAAAGGCGTACTTTGATATTTCTTCAGTGCCTGTTTGATGCAAGCCATAGAATAGATACTATAGAGAAACCATCGAGTGGATAAAGGTTGCTTTTCTTTGTTTCTTGAATGTTCTAGCTATAGAAATACCTTTTGTATTCGACTCTCTTGAGAGAAATCAGTATTTAAAAGTGTCACCTTTTTTCTTTTCTTTTTTTTGGGTAAATTCCTAAATGCATTTTAACCTAAAGTTTCAGGAAGAGTCTTTGGTGGATGACTCATTACTTCAAGATGATGATGAAGAAGAAGAGGACAATGAATCTCGTTCTTGGAGAAGATGATTTGACTGATCATTGATCTGCATATGCTAGAACTCTACCTGTGTTTCATTAGTATTATCTAATGTACTTTTACATATTTGTAAAAACAATTTTTGGTAAAATGTGATGAAGATGGATTTCACAAATAGACAAAAGAGAAGAAAACTACCTTCTGATCCTGTATTTTGAAAGATTGATGTTTGCGTTTTATTTCAGTAAACAATTGCTAAAGACATCACACTAGAAACATATGCAATGTTTTTATTACATACTTCTACTGAACGTTACGGAATTCTTTGGGTTCTTTGTAATTTAATGAATAGGTCAGAAAACTTATGACCAATACTTGTTATAACTTAGAGGATTTTGTTTTACTCCAAATAAGGAATGAATTTGCATTTAAAATCTTAATGAATGTTTTCAAAAATGAATAGATAACATAGTACTCTAACTAAAGTCTCCAAGTTATGTATTCATAATATTACATAGTAGTATGCTTAGGCTTTACTATGTATTAGCCTTTTGTTGGACTTGTGTATGTATTTTACCACATGGGTTTTAATGATAACGGTGTATGACTGCTTTGCATATGAGTCCTTATGCATTGAGATGTTAAAAATAAAGTGGAATGGTCTCTTAAAAAGAAAAGAAAAGAAAAAAAAATGACAAAAAAAGAAACCAAGACAATGTTCCTTGATTTAAAAAAAGAAAAAAGAAAAAGAAAAAAGAAAAAAAATTAAAATAAATAGACCATTCCAGATGGTGATCTACCCTTCTTCCCCCCAATTATCACAAAAGGAGCTATAATCACTAACTTATTCTTAATAATAATGGTTACTAGTACCTTTACAATAATGTACAATCCAATGTTTAAAATTTATAGCACTTCAGTTTGGTTTGATCCTATATATTTTCAACCGATGTCTTAAAATTTAAAAGCAGGCTGATTAGTTTGGAACCAGACTTCAAGTAGAGCTAACATTTGGTGAATAAGAAAACATCACATTACATTTTGGATGTATGAAAGAAAACTTGACCATTTGAAGATGTATGAATAAAGAAATGTACTATAGATACTACTTTAGGAAAACACTGTTTGGTAAGTGTTCCAGTCTGATATTTTAAGTGTGCATTTCCTATTCTTGTATAAAAATCTTTGACATTTGCAGAAATACTGTGATTTTTAAGTGGATTTCTCTGGCAAGTGAACATGATCATTGAAAGTTGATACAGCAGTTTCTGGGAAATAATGCATTCTTTGTAGAATGAGGGGGTGGGAGATTACATATTTATCTTTTAAAATTCATCATTTTGGTTGCAAGTGTCCTGAGATTAATAGTGATTATATTAAAAGTCACATTAAAAAAAACTCACTTTCTTCCCATACTGGGGTCCTCACAATCACAAACTGTAATTCCACCACCATAGTCTTTTGCCAATGGAGTAACTAGTGGATGCTCTTCCTTTTTCTTTCTTTTCCCACACCTAGCATTAAAGTTGTATATATGTTCTTGATAGTAATACTATTTCATAGGAATGTTTTGTCTTGCAGTTGGTACACGTTTATATTTCAAATTTCAGAATCAGATTTCTTTTGTCAAAATAGTGACTTTACTCAAAAACCTCTTTACTATACTTAGATCTATGATATATTTTTATGTAGTCTCTTGTATGTTAACTATGTGCTATTCTGATTCATTAGGTAAGTTTGTTTTCTTTTCTTTTTAGTAGTCGTGAAAGGTGCCAAATTGGCAGAGGCTCACGTTTCTTCTCTTTACACCAAACAGGTATTATAAAGAAAGAAAATCTTTCAAAGGCCAGTTAAATCTCCATGCTGATTTTTGGCTTTATAATTTGATTAGTAAATGTTAGCCTGATATTTCAAAAATTACTGTAAACTTTCCTTATAATGTAACTGAAATTACCTACTATTTATTTGAATCCGTAAATAGCTCATCACTTTCCCTAGTCTTAAATTCTCTGATAACCTAAAATTAGAATGTTTTAAGCCATGTTGTTTTAAATGAATCAGAAGACAAGTATGTTTCGATTTGATCACAAAGTATGGGGATTAAGTATTAGCAACATTCATTAGGTTCGCAATTATATTTTTATCATTAATATGATTTTAATTATAAATATTACTTAGTGTTGAATTGCTATTGGAGTTTTAAAGTCAATGATTATGCTTATAAATACTAATACTCTACATATACTGTCACGTGTTCTCATTTAAAACTTAATTTATCCCTTTCAAGTAGGTATTAATTCCCATTTTACAGATAAGGAGACTTAGGCTAATAGAGATGGAGTGACTTGCCCAAAGTCACAGCTAGTAAGCGGAAGGACTAGGTTCAAATGCAGGCATTCTGATTTCAGTGCCAACCTTTACTCTTTTTTTTGACTATGTATTGCTACCTCCTTCCTAGTTATTGATTGAGCATGAGATTGTGTTTGCAGTAAATGTGGTAGTTCTCACACAAAGTTAGTAGACTTCTTGGTCATTAGCCAGTTCATACCTTTACCCTTCCTTTTAATACAGCACTTTGTTCATATCTCTGTTACAGTACTTATGTTGTAATATAATTTATCTGGTTTATGTCTGTCTTCTCCACTAGATTACAAGCTCCTCTAGGAAGGGGACCATGTCTTATTCATCTTTTTATCTCTAGTGATTATCACAAAGCCTGGCTCATAGTGGGCACTCAGATGTTTGTTGAATGATAATGAATGAATGCGTATTTAAATCTCCAATAATGGAGTGACAATTACCTCCCTTGTTAATTCTTATCAATTTTTCAAAAATCTCTCTTGAAGGTCTTCTCAGTCATTGGGACCATTTTGCTAAACAATTGGTACAGTTATGTATTGCACCAGTGGGGTTACAAATACTGATGGAGGAATACACATGTAGTCTTGGTGGGATTTCCATAACAATTAGTAAGCCGCTAATATTTTGGAGTCTTAAATGTTGTAGTCAGTTTCAGGAGTAAAATAGCTTTTTGGGCAGTGTGTAAGAATAGAAATGCTAAGAGCCACCAACCTAGTCCATTCCACTAATTTTTTTTATATTTAAAGGTGACCTAGTATCGAGTACCAGACAAGGGTTAAGGGATTTAGCTTTTAATCTCAGCTCTGTAACTAACTCTCTGGCCTTATACAAGTCGTTTGACTTATCCAGAACTGTTTCCTCGTCTGTAAAATGAAAGAGGCTGGACTAGATGATGTCTAAGGTCCCTATCACATTTATAGTTTCCCTGGTGGTATATTACTGTTTGATCTAAAACAGTTTAATATATCTATACCAATTCTCCCTACCTATTATTGCTATTGTTGTTTCTATCATCTTATCAATGGAAACAACTTAGATTTTGTTATGATAATTTATATAATGTGTCTTGGTACAATTTGTATATAGTGTTCTCAGATGCTTGCCTTTGCTGGCACAAATTCCATTCAACCTATAAAGTATAGATTAACTTCTCTACTCACTAGCACTTCCCCTTCCTACTTATAACTTTTCCTTTCATTTCTAAACTCAAAGTTTAAAACTCTTTCCTATTACAATATGCTACCTAAAATTTGAAACACATTTTTAATTCTACAGTTCTCCTAACAAGTTCTTTGCATTAGTACAGATCTGGGCTGAGTTGAAAGTGAGAAAAGGATTGAGAACAATGTAGGTAGCTACTTCTTACAGAAAAAAATTGAGGGAAATTATGTATTATTGGTTAAAAGATTGATTAGGATTACCTCAAGGGATGGTTGAGTTGTCATTTTACATATTTCACTCAATATTTTGTGTGTCTACTTAAGCAGTGTTGTTTTAAATGTTATTGGATAATTGTAACATTTTAAAAATTAATTTTAGTATTTAACTGATGCCCAAGCATTTAATGAAATCATGTTGCAAGAATGAAAGAGTATTCCACAGCTCTTGTTTTATTGTAATATGATCAAATATATCAACCAGTAGTTTACTATAAAGACAAGATTTCTCTGTTTTAGCTAATTACCTGTAGAAAGTATGGCTGAGCTTAATTGAAGGAAATTTTTTAACTAGAACTGTTTTATGGGAATTGTATTTCCAATCTTACTTGGAACACTAATCATTGACTCGAAGGGTTACAAAAAGAAAGCAAACAGTTGCTTGTTTGGTATGTTGAAATATCAATGGCTATTTTAGAGTATTATCCAAACTTTATCAATCTATATTTTCTTTCTTCTTTCCCCTTACCCATAATGTGAACTAATTATAGGAAATAAGTTTTAGTCCTAAAATATTTGTAAGCTTTTTTCCTTACCTCTCAAAAGTCTTTTAGCCTTTTAAAACATATCCTGCATGAAATTCTGCCTAATTAAGTTAGTTCACTTTTTGGTCTTTTCTCTCAGAGCTTTCCTTATTCTTCTAAAACCCTGTAAATTAAAAGTGGAAATTAAATCATCAGTGTACAGTATTTGTAAGGCAGAAAGAAAATTTCCTTTTCCCAGATCTCAGGAACTACCTTGTTCTTGTATAACTTCTTGAACTGGCTAGTTGCTCTAAGGTATGTATACAGGCTTTTAGAGAAGAGTAGTTTTTTTTTTCTCTCTAATCGTTATTTACTGATCATTTGACAGCAGATAATCTTCCAAAATAGCTACCTAAAAATCCTAGGAAAGAAATCTTGGTGAACATGACTGCCATGCTCAGTAATTTCTAATGAAAACATCATACTTGTTTAGTAGAAAAATTCCTAATTTGGTAGATAACTTTCTTGCAGTTTATCAGTATTATGTACTCATTACTTAGTGTAAATGAAAGCATTTTTTTTGTGTGTGTGTGTGTGTGAGGCGATCAGCCCTGTGCTAACATCTGCCAATCCTCCTCTTTTTTTTTTTTTTTTCCTGAGGAAGACTGGCCCTGGGCTAACATCCATGCCCATCTTCCTCCACTTTATATGGGATGCCGCCACAGCATCGCTTGCCAAGCAGTGCGTCGGTGCGCACCCGGGATCCGAACCGGCGAATCCCGGGCCGCCACAGCGGAGTGCGTGCACCCAACCGCTTGCGCCACCAAGCCGGCCCCTGAAAGCATTTTTCATTTTACTTTTTTTATATCAGTTTATTATACTTGCTCCTTCCTAATCCCTCCCTCTCTGTTACTTTATTTCATCCTTCCACTCATCTTCCCATCATCCAAAGTTAGTCTTCCTTTGTATACCAAGCGCTGTCTCATTTTGATGTGTTCCTTTTTGTTTATTTTTGTTGTTAATAATTGTGCTTAGTATAGACTTTTCTGTCATATAGTGTGGTTAAAGAATGAAATGATTATTATATGGAGTTTAAGGAAATTAGATGTATCTCACAATTATTTTGAAATCTTTGGGAAACTTAAGAAATTTTTTTTTATATACACTATCTTGGAATTTGTTCATGATTTCTTAAAATTATTTTTCCTACTCGCACCTCTGTAAAAAATTTACTCTCTGTTCAGTTACTACATTTCCTAACCAAAATTTTAGATCATAGCCATGTTGTAGAGTTGTGATCTTTGCAACTTAATGTTTTAAGGTAGCGTGATACAGGGAAGTTTTGTTAAAATCATTTTAACCCAAGGCTAATATTTTGTGAAATTTGTCTGCAACTTTGTGATTCCTTTCTCAAATAGATTTTCTTTAATGTTTATAAAAGTTGGAGATCAATTTGTGATGTGATTCAAGTTTTAGATTTATTTACTATTTTCAAAGTTTTTTTTAATAGTCTTCTCTTTTTCCAGCAGAGAGAGATCATCATTGCCTGAATTTAGCTTTGTGACTACAACAGCAAGACCTGTTCCTGTCTGGAGATGACTGTTATAATAATATCATCCTATCATTTTATGTTTGCCCTTTATCAATTTGAATAGATGTTTACATGTACTATAATTAGCATTTTATCTTTACAGTTCTCTAAGGGTACATCTGAGTCCAGAAGTATATCTGAGTGTGTGCTTTGTCTGGTCTTATTCTTAAATGTTTTCTCTCCTTACTTTATAGCCGTTTATTTTTTAAACACCATAAGCAGGAAAAGGACCTCTTGGTTTCCTAGTATGAGATAAGTTTGGTCTCAGGCAAGTTGAGAATTGTACCTAGGAAATCTATAAAGCCATGATGCTGTGTTCATTAGCATAAACAATTTAGAGTGAAAAATGATTAAAAAATTAAGCATGGGTTTGGTTTTAATTTTTCTGGGTTTTAGGATACATTTCTGGGGTTAGAATAGTCACTTAAAATAATTTTGAACAGATGGTAAAATACTTTTTTAGACACTGTATAACTTGCCTGTTTCTTCTAAATATACTTAATGAAATCGTTGCCAAGGCCATTTACCTGGAAAAATTCTTTTTTAATTCTTAGCTCTTCAAAGGCAACAAGTAGATTAATTTTCTTTCTTTTCAAGTAATACAGGATGATTTGTGGATTATAAATACTGAGAAATATCT